ACCAAAAAGCTGAGACAAGCATTTGAAAGAATGCCTTCTGGAGGAAGTTATAAGCATTCATAGAATTACTAAAAGCTCTATTTTTTCCCCATAGTTATTGGACATTGCAACTCATTCTTCTACACATAGGAGCAAAATGCTTTACAACTTATTTACCATCATTTATGGGTTCAGAAGTAGAAGTCTGTATGCCATATTTATCCTCAATCTAAGCTATTCAACTTCAGGTATCTCAATCATTAACATTGAGGATTAAAGTTTTAAACTTGAAAGATTTGCAAATATCAATTTTCTCAACCAACTTCTGCACATCATAAAGTGATTCTTTCGCCATGGAATTACCTGTATACTCACAGGTAGCTCATGTAGCATCTTCTGGGGATACATCGGAATTTAAGTCTGCAACTTCTGAAAATTTCAATTGACAATTTAGGCTTTCTTTCATCGGTGGGATCCCTAAACGTTCCTTCCGAAGCTATTATCTTCATTCAGCATGGCATTTTTCCTCCTGTAGTTACCTTCCCCGTTATATAATCCAGTAGGTGTTTGCAGTGTTCTGCTCTCTGTGTTGGACCTACTATTGCCACGGCAGTATCTTCCATTGCCCCCCATCTCACCGGTTTGAAACTTTAGCAGAAGCCATTACTTCAACCATGTTAGATCTAAATTGAGCCCAGATCCTCGGCTTCTGCCATTCCCATGGTCTCTTCTCTTGGATACCATTCAGCCTGACAGAATTAGCTTCTCCAACCTCCACCTTCAAGTCCTTGTATTCACCCATGATGTCGCTGACGTCGTCACAACCAAGTCGACCTGGAAATATTTGCATCTGAGAATTGACACGATGCTTGATCTATCAATCATCTCATCCTCCCCTGCACCCCTATCTTGACGATTGAAGTTCCTCAGGGATCTTGAATTAAATCTCTGAGGCAAAAGTCGAACTTTGATCACCTTGATCGGTCTAGATTCTTTGCTTTCACATTGATATCCTTCTCCCGTGGGCCGATGACTGTCCATTGTTCAAGTACCTTATTGACCTCCTCTTCCTCCAAATATTAATGCCACCCGCTCCCCTGGCGATGTAATCATCAAACCTCAGCTCCTCCTCTGCCCCGTCCCCCGAGTCCTGTTCGATCCCCGGGTGACGCCATACGGTTTCACACTGTGGAAGACGGGAAGAGGCGGGCGTTGAGCAGCTGCTTCGCATTCTGCTGCATCCGCTTCCATTGCCACTTGGACACGTACCACCTGGGGGCCACCGCTGCCACGGCAGAAACCGGAGGAGAAGGGGAATCTGTAGGCCCCCGACAGGTATTTGTGGAGGAGAGAGTTTGACTGGCGGCGGTGGCGGACCGGCGGATGGCGACGGTAGCAGGAAGGATCGCGGACGGCATTTTGCGGTTGGATCGGATCGCTCGACCGAGCAAGACGAACCCAAATAAATTTCGGGTCCTCAGCGAGTCGGGTATGTATACACTCCGACCCGATAGTGAAGAAGCGGTCCTTTAGCCCACGCGGGTCGGTTCCCGGCCTCGTCGTATACAGACCCAAACCCACTTATAGGATTTCGGGTCCGCACCCGCTCAATACCAGCGCTGTTCTCGCCCTTCGCCTCCCCGTCGCCTTCCTCCTTGCCAAGTTTTCTCCTCCGGTCGAATCGGTCGAATTCTTTTCAGGTATTCTTCCATTCTCCAGATGTCGCCCTAATGGTCATTGGCCGGTGTGGCCTCATCCGAGCGTTGGATGTTCATATTTCTCATCGTAATTTCTTTCTTCCGGTTTCCTGTTTGATGCTTCGTCGCAAAAAAAGTTCACTTTTTTTTTTGTTTTGTTTCTTTAGTGCTTCGAATCTTTATTAGTAAGACTCGTATTTTTGTGTTTGATGATGAGCTTGGCGATTTGGTAGGCTTTGGCGAGATGGTTTTGGGGTCTTGAGATGTCAAATTCGCTCGCTTTACCTCGAGAGTTCACCTAATGAGAGGGAGAAGAGAAAGATGGAAGAACTAATGTGGGTAGTTTACATGGTTTGTGGCTGCTAAGCTCTTAGTTTGATTCCTAGAAAATTGCTATGATCAGGACTTGTATTAGGCCCGGTTTGATCGGTGGAACCAATTCCAGTCGGGTGCTTTGCACGTTCTACATTCGAATCAATATAGCACCTATAGCATACAAGCTGGCTTGGTGATGGTTTCTGCTATAAACTCAGCTATAATTCTTGGATGCTTCCAGTTCGAACCCACCATAATGTAAAAGAGCCCAAGGGACAAACAACAAAGTTTTGTTCGACCGAATTCTAGTGGCTTTTTGCACTCGAAAGAATCTTGTGTTTGGACCAATTGAGTAAATACCTAAAGACTTGCAGCCCAATCTGAAGTGTACCTGTCGTTTCTCGACTGATAGGATAAGTATATACATCTTTGTTTCATGAACCCTTATTACATCATGCCATGTGTTCTTCAACTAAGATTCATCCATTAATTCTACATATACATTGGTATCTAATTGACATTCGAAATGTTAAATTTTGCATTATTATCGTAGTTTTTTGCACTTTCTGGTATCATTTGCTTTATAAGAAATTCTCATTTAGGGGGATGCTACCTTAATGCTCAAGCTCAGTGCACTATGGATCATGTCATTCACATCTAACAGGTTTTTATTTCATAAGTTCTGCACTATTTGGAAGATTGATTGCTGCTCGGTCAGGTTAGTTTTCATCGATATTGGGATGGAAACACTTGTATGTTTCCACCCCAGGCTGGAATAATGGTTAATTTATAATGTACATGTGCAAATAATTTTACCTGGACTTTAAATTATTGATTGATGCTTTTGGTCCCATAAACCTAAACTCTAATGCGACAGTTTTTTAGAATTATTCTCTCTCTCGTGGTTCGAGGTGATAATGTGGCCATTAGATCGCATTGTGTCCTCTGTGGATTCATGCATTTGTGACATCATAGCGAACATATGTTTCTTGCAAATTTCAGGTCACTCAGTTTGGATTGCGGAAAATACATCCTCCTCTAACTTGACACAAGCATCATATGTGTGCTGAAGTATGTTGGTCACATTTCCTCAGACATTCTTGTCTTATATTGTTAATCAATTGTTGTGGTATTTTGCTGCTAAGGTTTCTTTGCCATTTCATTTAATTTTTCTATTCATCACAAGGAGAAAGAAAGCTGATGCAAAATGGTTAATAAAACTGATTTTAAGTTATCTCTTCTCTTCAAGCTATGTAGCTTGATAGTGCTTTCATCTTTCTTTTGTCTTCTAATATACTTGCATGCATACATATCTATTGCTCTGACATATGGAGTGATGTTCAATTTTCCATTCTTCCAGATTATTGAGTTCCAGAAGTGCCATGCAGACCATCCAATTGGAAAGTTTTTCAGGCAATGCACTGAACTAAAGATAAAGCTTGACCGTTGCTTTCGACAGGAGGTGTTTGAAAACATGAGAAGTAAAGAAGGCACACACCCACAATAACACCAATGCATTTTGCACCAACTTTTTCTCTTGATATAGATGTTTTATTTGCCTTTACTAATATTCAGCTTTTAATCCTTTTACTCTGTTAAGATTTCACGTCACTCATGTTTCACGTCACTCATGTTTCATTTCTTTTTATTTTGTTATATTCTTTTGTGTTTTGAAAGCTGTTAAACGGATGGCTAACTTTGAGGAAAACAAAAAGTTCAAGGAAAGGCTGCAGGCTTACAGAAAAGAAATGGTGGAAAAAGGCACATAGGGACGTTTCGAAAATTATGTACTACCGTATAATTTGAAATCATGAATGAGATGTATCTCCTGGCCAAGTATTTAATTTACTGTTTATTGTGAAAATTTCTGGATTGTAACAATCTAGAGAAATAAATCAGATGACTGATTTCATCTTAATATGCCAATTTGATGAGCTGCAAACTCTGTTTGATCCATAGATGCATATAATTATTGACTCATCCAGGTATTAGCTTATTTGCTTTCTTTGCCCCCAGAAAAAGTTGTCACCACTGATGATGCTGCCTTCACAGCCTCAGCAAATTCCAGGGTGGTGGAGCTGGTTGAGTAGTCTTCTCCTCTATGGAGAAGGTTCGGAGGGTAACAAATGAGGATGTGAGATCAGCTACAGACTGGCTGGAGGTTTAATAAAGGGTTGCCTTCCTCTTCACATGGAAGCTTCTTTGTGTGTGTCTGCTGGAAACTTCCTTTACATTGACTTTGGGTGTCTGTTTTGAGTGCTATGGATGACAAAATGTTGCTGCTGTGGGTTGGCAATATCAATAGAAAAGTAAATGGCAGACAGACAATAGAGAAATATCATGCAGTGTGATGAACCAAGTACAAGGAACAGGTTGATCATATCTTGCAAGGACTTCTTAGAATCTGATCATTCTCTCATCATTTTCCAAAGGTTGATTATATCTTGGAAAAAAACCCATGGTATCCTAATTTTCTTTGTGTTGGAAAATTGTTTGTGATACAAAGTTTAGGACTAACTAGTGTAACCCATCCTGTTTCAACTCTTATTAGGAAAGGGACATGTGAAAAGAAATGATCATCAATTTATATATTGGAATCACAATATGATTTGGCACTAATGTATATTTTCAGCATAATGTCTTTTATTTTATGGAAGGGTGGTAGCTGCAACAAAGGTGACATCACATAGTAGGCATAAATGTGCCCAATATTTTGTTCTTAGGATGAACCTGACCAAAGTCATTTTAAAAGAATGATGTGTAGTGTAAGATGATGCTACATCTTTATTTTTCTCTCTGAAGGGAAGAAAATTCTACAATCACTAATGTCAACAAGAATGGTTCAATGTATGTGAATAATAATCATATTATAAAAACCCTCTTCAAAATTTTCCTTCAAACAATGTGTTTGGTTGAAATGTATGGATTCATAAGTCTGAAGAACTATTCCTGATAGCTACTCTCCACCCTCCACCCTCTATATAAGTACCAGCAAACTACTTTCAGTTCTCATTGATTGAGAACACAAAAAGAAGGGGTTACTCTATCAATTTGATTCTTATATAGATTTCAGGAGATGGCAGCCCTTCCTCTTCTGAGCCCTTACAAGATGGGAAAGTTTGATCTGTCTCACAGGTAATTAATTTGGCTTATCTTGTTCTTCATCTCTGTGATAATTTGTATTTGGATTTTCTGATTGCTTTTTACTGAAAATACATCAGTAATGGTTGATCTTGTGAAGGTTTTGGATTCTTTTGCTACCCTTTCTCTTTTGGTTTCTTTTCTTGTATGTAGCAACATGAAATGCAAGCCAAATGTTAACAGATCTTCAGCACAAATGATCCAAGTATGAGTGGCATTCTGGATTATAGATTTTCTTATTGAAAAAGATGATGATGATGAAAGAAGAGGATTTGAATCAATAACTTGCTTTTATACCATGATAAATGGCTAGCAGGATGATAACTATTTAAAAAGCTCAAGTTAATTAATGTGATGAAACTTGATTAGTATCATTCTGACAAGCCAAACCATTTGAGTTATTTAGGATTGGTCAAACTATTTATATTTGTGAGTAACTACAAGGATGCCCATGAACAGTCCATGGTTCTTCACCTTATTTAGCTTGTTTCTGCTATTTCATGGGAATTATCTAAAACATGAGGACAATGATGGAGGAAAACTCTTATGAATCCTAAAAGTTGAGTTCATTGATTGCAAACATTTGCTTTGTTGGGCTGTCATCTGCATCTTAGTTTTGGGTTTTGTAGTAGAGAAGAAGGTATGACAACATCAAGCAACTTCTCATACCTAATCACATCATGGTTGGTGGGATTCTTGCTTTTATGAACCTAATTCAAAGTAGGTTAACAAACTAGATTTAATGTTGGTCAAAGTTTTACCTTCTTCTTCTTTTTTTTCATGTAGATAAATTATATTTATTGACAAAAAAAATACAATTATATCTATCAAACAGAGCAATTAGTAATGGGTGATACATCTGTAGGATTGTCTTAGCACCTCTCACAAGATCAAGATCTTACGGCAATGTTCCCCAGCCGATTGCAGTCCTGTACTACTCTCAGAGGACCAGCAATGGTGGATTCTTGATCGCTGAAGCCACCGGGGTCTCAGACACTGCTCAAGGGTATATCGTCATCCTCGTAGCATAATAGCATGTAATCTTTGCTGCAAGTGTGACATCTGTGTGATCGCCATAGAATACCGCACACCCCTGGAATCTGGACGAGGGAGCAGGTGGAGGCATGGAAGCCGATTGTGAATGCCGTGCATGCCAAGGGTGGTGTCTTCTTCTGCCAACTCTGGCACTGCGGCAGGTTCTCCAAACCTGGTGCGTTGCCATGTCCCAAGCTACACCTTCGATGTGTGCATATCTACATTTGCGATCCATTCAAGATCGATGGATGGATCATTTAGATTCTCTCTCTCTCTCTCTCTCGTTATAGCTTTTCTTCTTGTGTTGCTGATAGAGTACCAGCCTAATGGAGAAGATCCTGTGTCGAGCACCGACAAGGCGGCGCCTCCGTACGTGTACGACAACGGCTACGTCGATGAGTTCTCTCCCCCCAGGCGACTGAGAACGGATGAGATCCCTGGAATCGTCAACGACTTCAGAGTCGCCGCAAGGAACGCCGTCGAAGCTGGTAACTTCTCTTCCAGTGTTGTGGCCATCCTGTAGTATTGCAGCGGTGGTGGTGGTCACCGCATGCCTTCTGGACGTACAGGCTTCGACGGAGTAGAGATCCACGGCGCCCATGGATTCCTCATCGAACAGTTCTTGAAGGACAGCGTGAACGACCGAGACGACGAGTACGGCGGGAGCTTGGACCGGCGCTGCCGCTTCGCCTTGGAGGTGGTGGCGGCCGTCGCCGACGAGATAGGGGCCGACAGGGTCGGGGTACGCCTCTCGCCCTTCGCTGACTACGGGGGGTGCAGGGACTCCGACCCGGAGGCGCTTGCCCTGCACCTGATCCGACAGCTGAACCAGAACGGCGTTCTCTACTGCCACATGGTGGAGCCGGAGATGACCGTCGTCGACGGCCGGCTGCGAATCCCCCACCGCCTCCTTCCCATGAGGCAGGCGTTCAAGGGAACCTTCATCGTCGCCGGAGGATACGACCGCGAGGAGGGCAACAGAGTCGTCGCCGACGGGTACACGGATCTGGTGGCCTACGGTCGGCTGTTCTTGGCCAACCCCGACCTGCCCAAGCGATTCGAGCTGGACGCGCAGCTGAACAAGTACGAAAGGCTCACCTTCTACACTCACGATCCTGTCGTCGGGTACACCGACTACCCGTTTCTTGAATCATCCGCCTCAAGCATGCGTTGACTTCACTGTGTTCAAGCACCACCGATACGTTGACTTCAGTCGTCTGCCAAATGGGACTCAAAACATCCGTCAACGTATGCGGACCATGGTTGCCAATTAGTGCTGAAGCTTAACCTCGTTACGTAATGTACATGTGTATCAAAAACACAACCTAAATCTACTTCACTGCCATCATCACTATCGCGGCGAAGGAAGCGCGGCGGCGCTCAGAAGTTGGCCTTGACTTTGTCGATGCGGGACTTGCGGACCGCTTGCTGGATCTGCCTCTCGTGTTCCTTGAGCATGTCTTCGATGTTCCCACCTGGGGGCATCAACGGACCCGAGTAGTGGATCCGTTTGATTCTGGTGCCGTAACCCTGCGTCACAGTGTGGGGATCATCAAGAACGATGCATGCGTTGCGAGGAGAAGCAGCAGTTGCGGCGGGAAGAACTTACCGGTGCCGGATCTTTGATGCCTACTGGCTCGTCTTTCCTATCGAGCGCGTGCTTCTGGGCGGGCTCAGCCACGTCGAGGCGATTACGTCGGGACTTTGCAGCGTTTCTTGCGGCGAGCGAGCCGGAGATGTCGGAGAAGTCTGCAGCACCGGGCTGAGGCCTGCATGACATCTGTGGCTTCAGGTGAGGGCCGTTCGGCACCCACACCGAGCTGGATGTGCGGCTGGGGACTTGCCGGAGCTGTTCCTGGTTCGGCTTCCTGGTCCATGAGGGTTCAAGTGCTCTAGGGTGCATGCCAGTATGAGAGAGGCCATTTCTTGCCGTTTCTACAGGAGGCTCGATGGGGAATCCAGACCCAGTTTCATCTTGTGGGTCGTACTTCTCGCTGATGCTTTTGGGATTTGCCTGCACCTGCCGCGTCTGCCACCAAAAACAGAGGAAGAACAAGAGATGCACTCTGAAGCAGACGATTCCAAGGGTTGAAATGATCAATACAGCGTCATGAACAAGACACGAAAGGCACCTGCAGTTCTGCATTGGCACCTGATGCTGCCATTGCTCTGGAATCTATTCTTCCCGGTCTGACAGATTCACATCCACGTCCCCTGGCAACTTCTGCTCTTTGCCTGCAGAGATTCGCAGTTGCACAAAGGTGAACATGGTATCAACAGCACAATGTGGTCATCTCAGTCCTACTCAATACATTTTGCATCAAGTAATGATTATGTAGAGCAGTGCATATGATCTAATACCTCCTAGCCTCATCCTGAAGTTTAGCATCATACTCCTTGCTTGGTGGATATTTTGGCAAATTTGAAGGGTCGCAGGCAAATGGCTTTGTCAAGAAGAACTGAAAAGAACATTAAGAAGATTATTGAATGCGGTAATATTGAGGAAAAGTATGTATGATACAGAAGCCCGGAATAAAGTGCAGAGGAAAGGAAACCTCCAAGATCATGTTCTCGGCAATAGAGATAGCATATTCTAAATGAAACTTATTAAATCATCATCAACGACTCAGAATGAAGAAGTGCTGTCAAATTCAAGCATTACAACATATTTATAGTTCCGACAGAAGTAGACTAGATGCATATGTGATCCAATCGACGATATTATATCGACTCGAGCAATCATTTGGTGCACAAAAGAAGCTAGACGAGAAAAACTAGACCAGAAATAAGAAATCACGACTTACGTCACTCTCGAGGGCTGATGCTGCAGTTCCTCGGTTTGCTGGTTCTATAGCAAGAAGAGAATCCAAGAGAGATAAAGCTGAAGGTGGGAAATCCTTGAATGTCTCAGCAAAGCAGCGTCTATACTGATTCTGAGGTTTGAATATGGTTGCATGTGGCAGCTTTGATTTCTCCCAGTACTCATCTGATGGTGAACCGCAGAGTTTAAATATCTTGTGTAGTTGTTCCACCTAAAATGGTTTGACCATCAAAAGTTGAGATGAGAAATGGAATAACAAAAGATCAGCAGCCACCATTTTCTATCAAATTGAGAATCATAATAGAAAGTCATTTCTCGGTAACAAAGTTAATCTGCATTGTTTGGAAAACTAAATCAAATTTTCTGCCAAACAAAACATTCCACAACCTAGTTGAGATATGCAGAATTACTTGGATAATTCTTCAGATTCCGTGGTTATTTTGTGCATAGCAAATGCAGAAATCAACACACCTCAGTTCTTCCAGGCATGATTGGTTTCCCGGCAAACAATTCTGCAAGAATGCAACCAGAGCTCCATAAATCAACGGCAGCGTCATACTCTGTAGCACCAAGCAAAAGCTCAGGAGGCCTATACCACAAGGTCACCACACGACTTGTTAGCTGCTGATTCTGGTCAGGATTGAACAGTGTTGCGAGGCCAAAATCTGCTATTCTGAGCATGCCATTGTTGTCTATCAACAGATTTGAACCCTTAATGTCTCGATGCAAAACCCCGCGACCATGACAGTGAGCAAGCCCTTCAAGCAGCTGTCTCATATAGCACTTAACCTGAGATTGATATGAAGGTGATCAGAGGATACATGTTCGAACAAGAAGTATGAACAAAGGACTTTAGTTATAGCAAAAGATGTGATATAAGATACCTGTGGTTGAGTAAACCTGGGACCTAACCTAGCTAAAAGTCCAGCAAGATCATGCTCCATGTACTCAAAGACAAGATACAGGTTGCATGACATCCGTGATGTAACTATACCTTCAAGCTTTATAACATTTGGGTGATCGAGTTTACGAAGAATATGGATTTCCCTTGCCATAAAGCGGACGCTTTCAGGGTCCATATTAACAAATCGCACTTTCTTGAGCGCAACGATTTTACCGGTCTCAAGATCGCGGGCTCTGAAAACATGACTATAAGTTCCTTCTCCAATCTGAAATGGAATGAGTTCGACGATGCACGTAAGTACTGCCACCACTATTACCAGGGACTAGAAAAATTTGTATTCTAGACTACCTTTGATTTCAAACTATGCAACAAAAATTAGTATATTAAACTCCGATACAATAGCATGCAGACCATCTATATAACATTAAAGAGTGATGCGATCAGACAACATCTGAACCAAAAGACAATGAGTTTCAAACACAAAATTTTCATAAGCAGGACAGATAAAGCAGAAGAATTTCGTTCTCTTCATGGATTTATTCAACGAAATTATTATTGTTAGAGGTTCTTTCACCCAAAAATATCTGGAATCTTCATTTTGAGGATGAAATCATTTAGTTTCTTGTCAATAGTTTCATTTGTTTGCCATAATTATGTTTTCATTTTCATAATTATGTTTTCATTTGCCATAATTATGTTTGAGGATGAAAACATTTTCAGAATTATGTTTGCCATAAGCAATCTTTTCTCTTGATTATGGTTTCACATCACTGCACAATTTCTACATGAATATCAGCATCGGAAGAGTCAAGACAGGAGAAAAAATAAGAACATAACTTTTGGCCATCTTGATCGCGGATGGGAACTTGGTGATTTTACGTACAGCAATCGCAATGGAGGAAAAAAGAAGCCTATGTAAACTAGATAATCGATTCATTTACTAAGCTCATTCTGATCTTGCCATATAATAAGAATCATGATCTATCAAGAAGTTCCAAGTTCAGAGAAGTCTTTGTCATGGTAAAACTAAACTATACATGAAAGATATTGTTTTAGAACATCAAAACCATTTAATCGCGACATATCCCAGGTTGTATCCATCAGATCATTAATTCTCATGATTCCCTTTGCACTTAGCCAAGCAAGTTGAGTTAAGGTTTTCTTTAACATCAATGAAACATCTTCCTGCAGATATTTCCTTCTCTGGAGCATAAAAAAACACAGCTAGGCTTACAGCAAAGATGACAAGCATATAGAAATGCAATATTAGACATAAAGAAGAAATGGAGTCATGTAAAGAGAGAGGCAAAGAACAGAACTCTAACCTTGTCTAGTTTCTCAAATGAATCTCCTCTCCTAGGCAACCACCCCTTGATTGCTTCTCCGGCCACCGTCGCAAGCCAAGAAGGCCACCCTGCTGCAACATACTCTCCTGTAATACCATCGGGCACATCCACGATTCCCATATCGTCTCCTGAGTTATTGGCAACACCGATAACTTCAGAACCATCTCTACGTGCCCCGACATCCACCGTAGCCCGTCTCTGATGCGCCCCAACTTTCGTCACCCTGTCAGCGACTGTGTCTGCTTTCTTCTCTTCATCATCGGACGATGACAACGAGGTGGAGTCTGCATCGTCCGGTGTCTTAGACAAGAATCTTGAACTGCCATGGCTTCCGCTGAGTGCGACATTGATGATGGCAGCCACGACCTCGTCTTTCTTCGGAAGTGTGACGAGACGACTCGAGGACTTGCTTTCCTCTGCCACGCCATCCTCATCAAGGTCGATACCTTTGGAACAAAGGCAGCCCATAAGCAGAAATCTAGGACAACCTCTACCTCATTTCCGTGTGCATTGACCCATAGTATGGTGCGTCCATTCTGGAATTGCAACTGCAAACACGTCTGCCCCCAAATCTCCAGGAACGCACCGATTTCCCCTCTGCAATTGCAAAAATAATCGAACTCCCTTCCCGAATTCTGCAAGAACGCCGTTCAATCCAGAAAATCCCCAACTCAACGCGGAATCAAACTCAAGAATCTCGGAAGACCGTATCGAAAGCTGCCGCCTTTCTGGGTCGAAGGGCACGGGAACCGGGAACAAATGACCGAATCCCCTCAAGATCGAGAACAGAAGCCCGAGCCCGTCGAACCCCAGAGGAAAGACGCCGTGGGGGTCGCGGAACCGGATCAAGATGCCACCCTGATGCGGGAATCACGAGCACCGGTGGCTGAGTCGTGGTTTTGTCGGTTCATTTCTCGTCGATAGTCTTGCGGTGGAGCTTTCCGCACCGCAGGTGGCTCTTTTTCTTCATTTTCGCGCTGAACAGAACCGAGGGAAAAGCGGAGAAGACGATCAAATTTGGATAGGAAAACAAAATCAAACTATTAACGTAAAAAATTGCGCTTTTTCCCTGCAACCGATCGACGACAACAAAGGGAAATGACAAGTTCCGGCAAACCAAACCAATCGAAGAGATGGGAAACGGAAGCAGAGGCGCCTTTGTCGGATCCCCATCGCCCTAAAATCTCGCCCAGCCTATGGATTTCTTCCTCGCATGTCTTCACAGCCAACAGCCCTAAATGGGTTGGACTCTTCCCCTGCATCGGAAGAGAGCAAGTCGTTGATGCGAGGCTGCGCGCCAACCAGCCTTTCTGCCGTTATGTCGGGTTATTTTACATACTAGTCCTTTTTATATTTTATTTTTCTACATACACCCTCATTTTCTTACCGAAAACCCGCCTATCTCTTAGATTTTGCACATTAGTCCATCAGTTAATTTGATACAATATTCTAAATATACATTTCACTAATCCCATTAACTCACTAACACTAGACAAAACTTATCCCTATAAAAATAATAAAACTTCTAATACCGATCTAATCGCTACATATCAATCGATGCTTATCGATAGAATCAAGAATAATTTCTGCAACATATAATTTAACATCGATATATTAGTTTATTTTCATTTGTCATTATTTAATTCAATGATATCATGCAGCATAAATCAATATGTCGTTCGATATATCGATATGATAAATTTTCAACATCGATATTTACATTTTGATTTAATAACAGCATTTTGAACTTTTATCCTTTTAAAGAATTTGGGCATTAATTATATTTCAGTAAATGATAAATTGACTTGTGTCGGAATTAAGGAGTAAAAGAGTAATTTAAGCAGTAAGATTGATCTAAATTGACTGTAGTTGAAAGTAAATATGACTGTTTCTAATGTACATATTGGAACTAATTAGTATCATTTCTTGTCACACACTTCTCAGTTGGATGAACAATTTCAAGAAACAATCCTTTTCTGGAAGAGCATGTGATCCATTTTAACAGTGTGCACAAAGTTCAAGCTTCAGAAGTCAAGTTCATGCTTGCATTGAGAACCACTCGGAGCATGGATTACTAGGGTTCCTCACTTGAGCACACAAAGAACTAGGAGATGATAACAACTGGATAGATAGATATCTTATGATTTCAATCTGGAGTAAGAAGAAAGCGAATGAACTTGGTCATCGATGGTAGTTGAGGATACAATGCATCTTCGTGAACTCGATGGCCATTCCTTATCGACTACGAAAAGCTCGGTCCGAGCAGAAATAAATTGTGTACTGCCTCGAGAAGAAGATGGGAGATAAGGCCAAGTTGCAGCGTGATGATATCCTCTCCTTCGATCCGGGAAGTCCAACCGAGAAGAAATCCTCAAAGCTTCATCCAGTATTCAGGACAGTATCTGTGGTTGATGTGTGCTTAGGATCCTAACTATCTTACGGCAGACTCAATTCTCAGCGATAATGATTCATTCCAAGCTCCAGAAAGCAACAAGAGAGCATGATGATTCTGTCAATGGCATTGGTTGCTGAATTGCTCAGCTCAATGTAATCCGTAGATTCATCTTTCTCTATTTAGGTCGCAGTTTGCGAGCTCAAGCTGTCATAAATGCAAATGCTGCCTCCAAAGACGAGTCTGATTAGTTTTGGTGTTAGAAATATATGCACATATCTTACGGTATTGGGCACTGGGAATCGAGCAGATCCCGACGCAGAATCCCGCAGAACAGCCATACCCCTGGCGAAAGAATCCCACGAATCAAGCGGCTGATCTTTTCTATAGCCAAACTAAGATGATCCAGGGTGGATTGGCGTGCCGTTTCTTGATCCTTTCCCTCAATTCACATAAGCCAGTTGACGAGTAGAAGCTTATCGCTGATCGATACTATGGCTGACCTATATATACCAATGCCTGCAGCAGCAGATGCTGGCCAACCATCGCCGATGGCAGCAACGAAGCAGCGGCTTGGTTTCCTCGTCGTAACTTGCTTCTTGATTCGCGTTCATGGACACCCCAACTACGCTGATGCGTTGCGCAAATCCATCTTGTTCTTCGAGGGGCAGAGGTCCGGTCGGCTTCCCAGGGATCAACGGATTACTTGGAGATCAAACTCCGGCCTTTCCGATGGCTCGGCCGCCAATGTAACATCGCTCTTCATGCTTGAATCGATGGATTAGTATTCCAGCGAGGTTATCGAGCTAGTTGCGTGTGGTTTCCATTGAGCTGTAGGTGGATCTGAGCGGAGGCTACTACGACGCCGGGGACAACGTCAAGTTCGGGTTCCCGATGGCCTTCACGGCCACCATGCTGTCGTGGAGCGTGCTGGAGTACGGGAAGCGCATGGGAGGCGAGGTGGGGAATGCGAGGGCCGCCATCCGCTGGGCCACCGACTACCTGCTGAAGGCCGCCACCCAGACGCCGGGCAAGCTCTACGTCGGCGTCGGAGACCCCGACGCCGACCACCGGTGCTGGGAGCGCCCCGAGGACATGGACACGCCGAGGGCGGTGTACTCGGTGTCCAAGACCAACCCGGGGTCGGACGTGGCGGGGGAGACCGCGGCGGCGCTGGCCGCGGCCTCGCTGGTGTTTCGGGTGACCGACCGCGCCTACTCGAGGCGGCTGCTGGCCGTGGCCAAGACCGTGATGGTCTTCGCCATGAAGTACCAGGGCAAGTACAGTGACTATCTTGGAAGCGTCGTGTGCCCGTTCTACTGCTCCTACTCGGGCTATCAGGTACGCAGCATACAACCTTTCTCTGTGATGGAGGAAGAAGCTATAATGCCTCTGTTGCAATAAACATAAACTACTGCACGTTTGATTCTGGAATTCTTTCTCTTCTGTTTCTTCTTCGTCTTGTAGTAATAGTTTGGCCAACTATATGCAATAGGTCAGACCTCACAAACATATGCTGCTAACCAGCTGACTTCAACCCACACTTTTTGGTCAATCTTAACCTTAAAAAAAACATTTTTGGCTTTTTTTTCGGATTTTAATAGTAATGTGTTTATTTTAATGATAGGATGAACTACTATGGGGTGCTTCATGGCTATTCAGAGCAACCAATGATGCCTTCTACCTCAACTATCTTAAATCTCTAGGAGCAAATGACAACACTGACTTCTTCAGCTGGGATAACAAATTTGCAGGAGCTCGAGTTCTTCTATCCAGGGTAAAGAAATGAAGAGAGAGAGAGAGAGAGAGAGAGAGAGAGAGAGAGAGAGAGAGAGAGATTTAGTTGTTTCTTTGTTGTTTAATGCAGAGTGGTCATGTTGTTTGTGCAGAGAGTACATGTAGACAACAACATGTCTTTCGTACAGTTTCAGCAGCAAGCTGAGGACTTCATGTGCCGAATTCTCCCCAACAATCCTTCCTCGACAACACAGTATACTCCAGGTTAGAACAGTCCATAAATCCCATTGCTGTGCTAGCTTAATCCAGTGAGTTCAATACAGGAGGACTGATGTACAAGCAGAGCTCTGCTAATCTCCAGTATGCTACCTCCATTTCCTTCTTGCTCTTCACCTACTCCAAGTACATTGCTTCCTCCAAGCACAGTTTCACCTGTGGCAACCTCTTGTTCACTGCAAGTTCCCTGAGATCTCTTGCCAAGAAACAGGTGACTCTGCTAGTCTTCACCCTTCAAAGATGTCATGCATGGAGAAACAGGTAACTCTGCTTAGTTCACTGACTCTGCATTACATCCTCAGGTGGACTACATTCTCGGAGAGAACCCTTTAAAGATGTCATACATGGTAGGGTTTGGTGCAAGATTCCCACAGAAGATACACCACAGAGCCGCCTCCCTGCCCTCCCTGGCCACCTACCCTGGTCACATTGGTTGCCAAGCCGGTTTCCAGTACTTGGACTCCAGCAGCCCTAACCCTAACATCTTAACTGGAGCTGTGGTTGGTGGCCCCGATCAGAATGATGCATTTACAGATGATCGGAAGGACTTCAGTCATGCTGAGCCGGCCACCTACATCAATGCTCCGCTTGTTGGTTCTCTTGCTTACTTGGTCGGGAGCTATGGCAATGGTTAACTGTTGCAGTATGTTTGCAGCTTTCTTAAAGGTCAATGGCAGGAGAAGATCCATGTAGCCATTGTAGCTTCTGTTAAGGAATCTTAATCTCAAACTTCTAGTGTTCTAAGTAACTATATAAACAACAGATTTTTCTACTCGTTCATCAGAAAATTCCACTCTCCTATTTTTTTGATAGATTAACACAACCAAAGAGAAATCTGTGTGGAGATTAAGATAAGATCATCCATCCTTTAGAGATGAGAACATCCAAAGTGTTGTTGGAACTTGGAACCATGAGATTCACATGTTTGCTCACTGCCCATGTGAGACCTGACATGAGTCATTACTGCAGGCTTTGGCTTCTTCAAATTGACTGCAACATTGTCTCACAGCAACAAAGACCATGTTTATTATCGTTCACTTGGGAGAGGTACTGTTAGCTCTAGTTCCCATGTTGTCGACATGAGAAGGTCTTCTTCCCCGCATCAACCCATCAAACTCGGATCACCTTTCTATCCCAAAGTCTGACGCCACGAATCATCAAAAGGATCACTTCTCTGGTGGCTACTTCCCTGTTTTCTTCAAATCCCAGCATGGATTCACCTTCAAGATCCCACCTCTTTGGTGATTCAACTCACAAAACCTTGTCGGGATTCCTCCTGTTCCTGTCCCTGGCCCCATCATTTGCAGAGACCCAGATTTCCGACGAGCTGACCGCCTACCAGATGCTGGAGAAGTATGATTTCCCCAAAGGGATCCTCCCACAGGGCGCGCAGAGCTACGTCCTGAACCGAGACGGGAGCTTTGAGGTGTATCTCAGCGGCGACTGCGAGTTCGAGGTCACCGGGGGCTACTTGTTGCAATACAAGAGAAGAATCACCGGCACGGTGGGCATGGGGTCGTTGACCAACTTGCGAGGCGTCCGGGTGAAGGTCCTCCTTCTGTGGTTCGGAATCAATGAGGTGGTGAGGAGCGGCAACGAGCTCAAGTTCTACGTCGGCCCGCTGTCGGCGTCCTTCGGCTTGTCCAACTTCGAGGAGTGTCCTAGCTGCCGCTGCGGCTTCGACTGCGCCGACGCCATGGTCTCTGATTCTTAGCATACTGGTGTTGGTGCGCATGGAGCATCTCGGACCTCTGTCTCTTCTCTAACTCTGGATTCCATGGATGTGTGGGGATGATGGTTTAATCTCTTCGACTTCGAATAATTGCACATTGTGCTTCGGTTGAAACATCGCCTCATGCCGAATCATGTAGTTGGAAGTGTTTAGGACTTGTGTTCTCCGTTGTTGTAGCTTGGTGATGAAGAGATTGGAGTTGGATCACTCTTCTAAGCTCAACTTTTATCCCACCAATCCAACTTCAAGCAAGATTGTATTAAGAATGATTTGAACTTTGATGTGACTGTTGGGCATCAAGTATTATGCTTTCTTGGTCTGTGTTTGATTATATTTCTTTTGATCACAGATACAACTATACGTTTCAGAGGCAGTAAAAATATCAACCAATAATTTTGATTGAAGAATCAAAACAGAGAGGAAGTCCAAAGCACAAGAAGAAACACAGGAAAGATGATGCCTTTCCTTCCCAAAGCTTTTCATAGAACACCTACCCGAAGAAGAAACGTGATAAACGAGCATAAGCAGCAATGATTGAGCAAAAAATGGAAGAGGCTGAGACCTCTTGTGAGACAGGTTGTGCCATGAGCTTCATGAGGAGCAGCTGACAGACATGTCCTTCCTTACTCAGAACTGTGCGCATCCTACAAGAATCCAAAATCTTATCTCACATCAAAAGAGAAACAAAGTATTCGTTCAAAATGCATTCATCAACCACAATATTTTCTAGAGAGTGATAGCCTGGAAATGCTTCTTCTGTCAGTAGCAGCTCAGATGACAGGCACATGTGCTTTGAAAAGCCCCTAATTGTCCTATAAGAAAACCAAAGATCGCCTCACATCATACAGAAACATCTAAGAAATTTGATGAAAAGTAGTACAAAAACACATTTACCAAATACAATTTTCCATTTAAGTATTATCGAAGCTCATGGGCTGTGAAGTATTATTATTTATTTGATTTCTGCAGGGAAGGTGAACAGAATTAATTACCCAAGCAAAGTCATAGAGTGCGTGCAAGCATTGTTGGATGACAAGATCATAACTCCAACAATTCCATGCGCAATGAAGATGTTGATCTCATAATTATGCCCTTCGCATTTGGAGTCTATCCTAACATCTACCCGTGGAGGTGATGCTGACATTGTGATCAGGTGGTGCGGCTTGTGGGCCCCAAACATGACCCCACCTTCTGCACACGGATCTCGTTTGAGGTTAATTTATCGGATCCGCAGCTGTAGCGGTCTGCGTTGGATCGAGTAAGATTAGTACAGGGATCGGACAGGGACCCACGCAACAGATATGATCCGATCCCATTACCGGTAGTTGGCGGACCGTCCTATTAATCATCGCATGCCAATGATGGAAATATGCAAATTTACGCATATGCCCATGCAATTAGTCTCGTAAAAAGGGGATTTTACCCATAATTATTTTATATTATGATTAAAATATCTTTAATAAAATTATAAAAGAATAGTGATTGTCCTTTAACTCGTTTTTCAGGATTGAACTGATTTTTTTAGATAAATCGGACACATCAATTAAATTAAATCATAATTATTCAATTCAATTTAATTATATCTTATATTATCTATCCCTTGATTTTTTTAAATTATCTCCACCCTTCAACTCCCTCTCCTCAATCACTTCTCTTTCTCACCCTCCGCCTCCTCATTCTACTCTTTTCCTTTTTATTTCTTTTTTATTGTCCCTCCATCCCTTTCTCCTCATCCTTATAGTTTATTTATAAAAATCATTATACTTGAGTTATACTTATTTATATAATATAATAATAAATATATAAAATTAGCTTAAATTCATCATAAAAAAACTTGAGTTATCCTAAAAATATATATTAAATTTTAGATAAATTATCCTAAATTATTTAGAAAAGTCATTATCTTCGAGTTACACTCATGTTATATTCAAGTTACACTCATTCATATAATATATTTAAAAATATATTAATTTTTGGAAGAAAAAAATATACTCTTCCAAAAAAAACCAAATATAAGAGCATCACTCGCTCATCACCAAGCATTTTTTGTTTTATAAATTGCCCAATGATATACAATATTTTTGGAAAGCTTAGTTTGAATGCAATTTAATGCATGCCATGCATAGCGAAGTTCTAAAGGATCCTTCAAAACCTTCCAATTTCATTTCCTTTTCCTCATATTTATTCACTTGATTTGTTCAAATTATTTTTGATATTTATTGTTTAACATATGAATAAATGACAATGGAATTACAATGCAATAAATAGTAACGTTATAAGGATTATTTTTCATTTAAAAATTAATAATATTTTTCTGTGCCATGCGAAATACATACCCGTTCGATCAAGATCAAACGGTAGCACGCATTTCAAACGATCACCGTCGGATCCTACGGGGTGGTGCTATATAGACCCATGTCCTCCGTTCCACCTTACGGGACACTTTTCTCTTTCTCCTCTTCCACATCCATCGGCAGCGAGAGACTCGCGGGGCGACCCCTTTTCGCCTCTCTCGTCACGGGGAAATAGCGTGAAGATGAAGGAAGACGAGAGGTTCGGTTAATCGCTACAGAGGAAATTTTTGTCGATCGTGAGTCTCGGTGGATGAAATCGAGCAGCTCTTTTGCGGAGGAGTCAAACCCATAGATCGAGGTACCGTTTTATCTCTGCTTCATTCCGATCCCGAATTCTCGAGGTTTGGGACTCATCAGAGTCTGCTCTTTTCCTGTGGGTTTCTGGAACTATTTCTAATCTCTTACAGATCGATTTCTTGCCGTGCTTCTTACCATTAATTTGCTTTGTTGTTCTTCAACTATAAAAGGAATATTGAATGACGATCGAATGTTAAAACCCCCCTACGCCATGTTCATTCTTCCTATTCTATTGTTTCTTTAAGTACTTTGGTGGAAGAACAGATTCAGAGGAAGAGGGGCGTCGTCGCCCAAGAGATCTCTATCGCGCATCTCGTGGGAGTACATCAATGAGCAATTGTAGTAGCTGTTCCCATTCGTTCGCAAATGGGACGTATCCCTACTTCCGATCTGCAAATCAGCAGACCCCTCAACTCAATTGCTTCCTCTTGGAATAATTAGTGATGATGTGTGGATATGAGAGTTGTCTGCTAACTGAATCGGTGGTTCCCATACTGCTTCCTTGATACAGGAATCTGGTGCTGATGTCAGGAATTGACCTCCACATGTCATCTTCAATGCCGTAATTGCATCGATCCTAAAGTAAATGGTCGTATCGAAATGGATTAAATCAAGTAGCAGTATGAATTAATTGTAAGCTTTCCCAGGTTTGATTGTAGTTCTGATAACTGTAAGACATGGAATAGAGCCTAGGATTTGACCTTCGCAGTTACGTGAAGGAACCGCCAATCTCGGATCAACCCTCTAATAATTGTGTCACGTAGTTTCCTCTGCGGTAGGCAAGAGTTGTCCACCCAACAATATACCCCTGCTTGTGTTGCGGTGGGGGCTTAGACACGACAACGAACACGAGTATCAACGCCATAATGCTTGCCTTGGGACTCGTGACAACAATTTACATGCCTAAGCAGTCACGTCTTTGGAAGGCTTAGCAGTATTTGTACTCGAATACCGGTGAAAATAACTAATGTGATGCGAAATGTTCGCGTCAACCGTTTCTGTTGCCCAAACAAAACTCCACCCACGTCACCAGTTCTCTTGGAAGCCATGGGGCCACTGCTGCTTCCAATCACCAGGCAGCACAGCATCGGCCTCCTTGTTATGTAGGCTGCTGTGCTGACCAGGCTTATGTGGTCCAGAGCGAGTGGGGGCGGTTCGCTCTAACACGCAATTCGTGCCATGTGTTACGGCATGTTGCTTTGGGAAGTCCCACAATTTTGCACCCACCAAACCATGGTGCGACCTCCAATTGTCGTCTGCCGACGCCCGATGGACCACTAGTTTGTGGTCAGTAATATCGACGTGCCTGTTCATAATTCGCATCATTGCTGGAATGATGACCTGAACGTCTACTGCATTTCAGGTGTCCCCCATTTTTGTTTCCCTTTTGCTGGTACAACCATCGCCAATCCATTCATTCGACTTGGAGGACTTGTAAGGGTTGTTTCTGAATATTGTTTTTGTAGGTGAACCGAGATCTTCATATTGAAGGTCTTTTGGCAGCGACAGACACAGGGAGGAGCAATGGATCATCAAGAGGGAAGCAACGACATAGATGGCATGGAGGGCGCGTGGCGGGAGATAGAGAGGAATGGATCGGGGTTGTACGAGAATGAGGAGGCTGGGAGTATGAGGGAGCCACTGCTGAGGAAGCGCACCATGAATACAACCTCGCAGATCGCTATCGTTGGCGCCAATGTCTGCACCATCGAGAGCTTGGACTACGAGTAAGGCTTGATCTTAAATTATCTATTGGGTTGTGGTGGCATACGCACTGCCATCTTTGTTTGAGTACTTATTTCGTAAAGTATGCAACTTTCCTATTTTAAAGAAGTCCAGATGCAATTTTGTGTGTGTTTTTTTCCCTCTCTTCTGTCGATTTGGATCATCTGTAAGCTGCAGTTTAACATGTAGTTGACTTATGTTGGAATATTAAATTAGAGCATTATATACCATTAGGAGTTTGATCAAGATTAGAAGTTACAATATACTTTGAAGGAGTCATGGTTTTATATATGTCGCATGTAGCCTTCTAAATCAATTCTCAGAGAGCATTGATGAATAAAAAAATTAGATTATTGCCTCTAGAACTCTTTTATAATTCTTCTTTGTTAATTTTTAGATTTACCATCTTCAGAGCTATTCCTCAGCAGGCTTGAACTAGGAGACTATTCTAATTTCCACTATGGTGTCATCTGGTTTGCAGAGATATTTTCAACATGAGAATGTGAGAATAAGTGAAGAATTGTATAAACAATATGAGATCACAATTTACCAGAATTGATTACACTAAATTTCATAACTAGTCCTGTACCAATAGCAAGAACCATATAGACCTTGCCTATCTCTGTGCACCATCTTCTTTCTATGTGATTTCAGAACAACATGGTGAAGATTATATTTATTTTTTTCTTCTCAGCATTTTATAAATAAAGGTGTGGCCACATACTTAAATATTCTTAA